TAATTTTAAATGACAAAATACAAGATTTTAGTTCAAATTTTGTATTTTGTCACTTAAAATTGCATTCTTTAAAATAATATAAAAATTTGTATACTTTACTATTCAAATTTTTTTCAACCTTCATTCATATAAATTACTCAAAAATAATTAATAACTATTAAAATTATTTTTTTTTTTTGTCTCCAATTATTTTAGGCTAAGCAAATTTTATAATTGTGGGCAAAATTTTTTGACTCGCTTAAGAAATTACGCGTTACAGCGAAATACGAAAAAAAGTAAAGTAAACGCTTAGGGGTTAAAACTTGCGACTGCTCTCGTACAAATTATTGAGGTTATATTTTCCAGTTCAGATTATATTACCCTAATTTTAGGATCGAGAAACCAAACCCTTTGAAAGAAAGGTATGTTTATACAGAGTAAGTACACTTTTGTAACTGATTTTATAGCTTAAGTTAGCGTCTGCTTTATTCAATCAGCATCTTTAAGGTTAGGCCATTAAAACATTTAAATTATGTCTTAGTACGTGAAAATCTGATCATTAGATCAAAAATTGTAGCTTAAATTATCGTCTGCTCTATTTATTCAGCATATTTAAGGTTAAGCCATCAAAACATTAAAATTGCGTTTTAGTACGTGAAAATCTGATCATTAGATCAAAAGTAGTAGCTTAAATTATCGTCTGGGATACATAATCAGCATATTTAAGATTAGGCCCTCAAGGCATTAAAATTGTGTCTTAGTACGTGAAATTCTGATCATTTGATCAAAAGTTATTTAGAGCGTTCCGTTTTTTCCCGCCAAAGCCTCAAACACAGAACACCTAAAAGGTCTGCAAATAAAACTTCAGATAAATCTTTACAGAAGTAGTAAGAATATTCGTTTTTACTGTATTTTTGGTCTAATTAATATTTATTTTAATTATATATTTCTAAAACCCTGTTGGAATTGATGAATAATCCTGAATAAAATGTTCCATCCCTTTTATTTTCAGGAATTAACCTCATTTTATACATAAGGTTGAAGTACAAGGATTTCACACTTTGCGTTGTCAAGCATTCATTGAATAGTCAATTGTCTAACAGCAGGAAATGTAAATAGTGTCATTTCGGTGCATTCAGTTCAGTATAAGCATTTTTTTTTAATCTGAAACTTTCCTTTCAAAATAGACATTTGAGAATACTAATAAAAATATAATCAGTGACACTTGTATTTATTTAAGCGGCAAATAAAAGGTGTCTTTGTATGCATTGAAGTGACAGTTTCATTTAGACACTCTGGGACAGGCTCATCTGTTTCGCTATATAAAACGCGTTGTTAAAATTATTTTCATGTTTTATTTTTTATTAACCCAAAACTTTATTTCTCAATAACATTTCGTATGATCAATATTTTAGTCGATTATCAGCTAAATACCCGTTCTTTATACGTTGTAAAAAAGAAGTAAATGGTCAATAAATTAGTATTAATCTACTTTACGAAATCATGCAGTAAACTGAAAGACATAAACCGACATAACTAATTAAGCTAAAATAAATAAATTTTTTTGTTTTTATCATTTGTTGCCCTTCCTGATGGCTTTATGTTATCAGATTAAGCAAGATATAAACAAGATATATACAACAAGCAAATCTAAGGATTCATTGGCCCTCAGCAGTTTTAGGCCTGGGGCCCCTGGATTTCTAAATCGGGCTCTGCCCACACTGAAGATTTTTTTAAGTTTAAATACCACTTCCAGGTATGCATTTTCTAGTTATACCCTACACCGATGCCTTGTTTTTTGCTGAAGTACCACTGCCTGGTATGCATCTACCTGGTATTCCCTTACAACAATGTTTTTTTATTGTGAAATGCTCCAGCTAGTTAAACTGATTACTAGTTAAGCTCTCTAAACTGATGTTTTTTTTAAGATTAAGTACCATTGCCCCGAGGATACATTTCTCGGTACTGACTTTGGCTTCTCTTTTCATACTCCACCCATAGGCGTAGCGTCAGGGGAATAGGGGGGCACGTGGTCCTCCAATAATTTTTCAAAACTTCAGTATTTCAAAACTTCAGTATTACTTATAAACTAGAAAAAAAAATCGAATTTTTATATTATCATCCCTTGAAATAGAATGGACCACCTTGACAGGAAGTGGTTATAAATAAGAAATTTTGCAATGTTTTTTTTTTTTTTTTATTTAAAAAAAAAACGATTANGTTTTTTTTTTTTTTAAATTTAAAAAAAAAACGAAACATCACCATGGTATCCCAATATGCTCCCAATCATGATCCCAATATGCAATATGATCCCAATATGCATGGTTTCCCAATATGCTCTAAATACATTACATAATCCATCATATTCTATGGAAATTTATAATTATTGTCGATATAATAGTTATTAACATCCCTGTTATAGATACTACACTCTCGATATCTTAAAGTTGAAGCGACGTTAAAAAAAAAATTCGAGATAACGAGTTTTCGAGATAACAAGTTCAGAACTAAATGTGTTCTAATAAAATAGAAAAATATATTTTAAAATATTACTCTAAAAAGCAAAGTCATGAAACATAATAATAACTACTATTAAACATGTATGGATGACTATAAGTCTAAATACAACAAGGCTAATTTTACTTTCAAAAATAAGACAAAAATAATAATGCATTAAATAGAAAATAATTGGTTTACAAAGAACTTACATTGTGATTTTTATGAAAAAAATTCATTTTCTAGTTCGAAAATTTCCGACATAGCAAGGTTTTGAGAAGAAACCCTTCCACATAGTCAATTCAAGTTGATATTTGCTGGATTTCAAGTTAACATTTGGTGGGTTTCAAGTTAACATTTGGTGAATTTCAAGTTAACATTTGGTAGATTTCAAATTAACATTTGGTGGATTTCAAGTTAACATTTGGTGGATTTCAAGTTAACACTTGGTGGATTTCAAGTTAACATTCAAGTTAACATTTGGTGAATTTCAAGTTAACATTTGGTGGATATGTAATACCAAAGAGAAAAATAATTTTTTGTTGTTGACTTAACAGTGTTTTTGAGATATCATAGTTTAGTTATCGAGACTATACTGTATTAAAAAGAAAGACATTTGTAAAATTTTCTGTGTGTTTTTCTGTGAGTTTTAATTTTAATATATTCAAAGAAATAAATTTAAAAAAAGCCCGGCATGCTCACTCAAAAAGCTCTTTCACGCTGCGCCTTAGCCTCCACCGGAACATCTGTGCTTGTCGTGACACCAGTGATGATTTGAAAGTACAATAACATAATCAAATATTCAGTGTTTCAAAGACGCATTTGGTATGTGTTGACATAACCGGTGAAAGTTGACTTTCACCAGTTATTCATACGTTTCAACATATTAATTATGTACGACCACCAGATATTAATAAAGTGAAATTTAAAAAACTTGTTCTTTTCCCCGAAGTCAGGGGAAAGGCAAAGGTTAAAACTCTTCAAAAATAACCTTAACTTCATTGCAAATTATTACTTTTTAATTTCGTTTGCTTTATAGTGTTTGTATATAATCAACTAGGTTCTCTAATCTGTGTTGTTTATGTCCTTCCTGAATCATGCTTCAGGCCTATACAATTTTTGAATTATTCACAACTCTAGATTTGAGAAGATCTCATAAATTAATTTTGTCGTCAGATTTTGTTTTTGTCTTTACCTTTATTAAAAAAAATCCATATTTTGTTTTTAATAGTTTTACTGATAAAACGGTTGTTTTTTCTTAGTTCTAAAATAAATGTTTTTTTTTTAACCCTTTTCACTTAAAGTGTTCGAGAAGTAATTTCTAGGACTCTACTATATTTATATAAGTATATTGTGGTAAATGTTATTCTTTTACTTCCGTAATGAAACATTAGTGCTATCGCTTTTTACTTCATTGGAAAAAAAATCGACATATTTTCTGCTACATGTGCTGATTTAATGAATTGTTGGTAAATCTTTGTATGGTAATCATCTAATTTTTTTTACAATTAAGTATTTTTTTCATTCGCAATTTAGTTATTTGTGGTAAGTAACTAATTTCTATACGCTAATGATTCAATAGGGAAAATGTGATTTTTTTTGATTAAGGTACTCCAAGAAGTTTCGATGTGATCTTGGTGAGGAGTTGAGACATTTTACACGAACTCGCAGCTAAGTGGCTTCCAAAAACAAAGTGATTAAAATTGTGGTGATTTAATGTGGAAATCAAAGTGATTAAAATTGAGCATGGCATTTCGGCTTCTTTTTGATCTTCACGAACTCATCACACCACAGATATGCCTTCGATAATATTTCTCTGAATTCAAAGGACTCCGTAATTTGAGTGAAAATCGTATACGTATGAAATGTGGTTGTTCACCTATACCAGCACCACCTCACAATTTTACATAGTCTTCCACTTTCACTAACTCACCAATTCATAAAAATGTATTTATTAGTATTATTCTATATATACATGAAATCACTTTCAAAAGCAAAAGTATACAAAAATAAAGAATAAGTAATGTAGATTTGCGCTTCATTCTGTTGATATAGCTGAATCTTATTTCTCTTTCCAAAATGTAAAACTATAAAATAAAAAACTCTACAATAAGTAGTAAAAAGAAAAGAAAAACTAAATGAAATGAACATTCATGTTAAACCAATAGACCTTATTGAATAAAAAATATTTCGATTTTATTTGCAACGCAAGTAAGCTAAATTAAAAATATTTTTTTCCCTAAATGATTGCGAAGTATAATGTCTATATTTGTAAAATGTGAAGTGAAATATTTGTCTGGGAATATACGCTTTCATTTCATTTTAAAAGCTGTTAAGCAAATCAATTTTATTACTTTTCACAAGGAAATTACTATTTTGTTATTTTATAATTTGAAATAACACGTTACGCTTCAATGTTGTTTCACCGGACAATAGCAACTGCCAGACTCAATTATTTTCGTTTAGAAGTAAGAAAAATAAATTATTTTTTTAAGTCTATCTCCCAAATAGTATAAAATTAAAAATGATAGGAATTTAAAGTATTCTACACGCTTTATCTAAAGCTTGAAAACGATCATGTCTGCATCATTCTTCGGTTTGCTCTGTTTCGTCCTTACTGTTGCATTTGTAACAAATGACAAAGTGGAAGAAATTGAAAAATTATTGAAAGAAATCTGTAAGTAAATTTTTAAGAAAAAAATCTTTTTAAATTCTAATTATAAATTTTCCCTTTATTTAAAATCACTCTTGATTAACTGTAAGACAATACCCTTTAAGGAATTAGTTTTGTAGCAATGCTATATGTAAGTGTTAATGGACAACAAGTCAAATTTTCATTTTGCGACGTAGCTTAAGTTAACTGTTAACCGATCATATAGCCAAAGAGTAAAGCGTCTTTATAAAAGCCTCTTTCTACGAGCGATTTAATTTCAGTGGCTGGATCACGCCATTGGTTAAAAATGACATCATTATGGAGATGGTAAGGCAGATTTCGTTTTCGCGTGTGCTTTGCATTTACTTCATTTTTGTAAATGTTTACGTATTATCAGCATTAATTTTATTTTCATGACTTTGACTCCAATAGAAATTATCACTAAACCGAGGGAATTGTAAATAGTATTTTTATATTGAACAATTTTAATAGTTAAAAGAAATATTTATTTAGGTGCCTGCATTATACATTCTAACATTTGTAACAGAACAAGACAAAATACTGTTATTACTTTTCTTACTATCAGTCTCTTTTTCAAATTCAGTAAATTGCATTAATGTTTTCTATTGAGCAGCCATTGCTCTTATTTAAAGAAAATTTTTTTGAAATATTAGGCTAAAAAACACGTTTGAAAAAATAATGCAGTTGCAGATAATGAGACTGTAATAAAATCAATTGTAAGTTATCAGATAAAAATAAAGAAAATAATAAAAAATAACTTGTTTAAAGGTAAAATTTTCGGCAATTTTCCAAAATCGCGTCAACACCAGCCGATATCTTCCTTTCCACAAAGTAGTGAATAGTGATGTCAATTTCTGATAATTTTCAAAGTTTTTGACATCTGATATTCGTGGGTGATAAATTCACACTTAAACACATGATCACTTAATTCTTCACACTTTACACAACGAGATTTTTTTTTATGGAGTTATATTAAAGAAGCTTTTTATGAACTACAAATGCTAAGAATATTGCATGAACTTTAAGAACGCATTCGTGCAATTTTAGAAATCATTGATTCGTACAACTTTAGAAATCATTAGAAATCATTCGTACTACTTTAGAAACTACATACAAAATACGTGGAAAGAAATTTAGTACAAATTAGACGTTTTTATTTTATTTTATAACCGTCGTCTAACAGCCGACCCAATTTTTAGGTTTACGACTACTAATATTCAACTCCGTAGCCTTGTGATTTCGAACCCAATCCAGAAGACAAGGGAACTCTTGGATCAAGTATTGGGAGAAATTTGTCTTCGGGGAAGACTTTTTGATGGAACTATCTCACATTTGCTTTATATGGAGAGGTAGACCACCAGAACATCCCACGGTTAGCCTGACGGCAAGGGGACTCTAACCCATGATCCGTCTACCACTGCGAAAATTTCACGTCAGCACTGTGGTCGGTGCAAGACGGATGCTGAATTCCTATCGACCAGCCATCGTCGGTATCGAACCCCGGTTCACCTCATTGGAAGGCGAACACTCTATCTCCTGAGCCATTGCGGCTCAAATTAGATGTTTCCCGAGAAACAATAATGTCAGACATTGAAAATTATTAAATAAAATTAAAAAGAACAGGTATATTTTTCTTTAATTTTTAGAATCGCTTGTTGTATGTGTAATAGTTTCAAAAATGTAAATTTTTAAAATCCGGGAAATCATTTCTGCCTTCTCAATATATTCCTATTACTATGTTTTGTGCTTTCAAATTTAACGTAGCGTTCAAATCTAGCGTTCATTTTGCCATAATATTTTCTCTTCCATTATTAAAAGAGTAGGTCAAAATAATGACTAGAAAATTCCTTATACTTTTCTTACATTATATTTGGTTTTAAATTTTTTTTCTTTCTAAAACTGAAATAATTAGTAAACTGTTGTAGAAAAAGCTATGAAATAAGTTCTGATTTAGTTTTTGACATTTTTCAGGTACAGAGGACGAAGAAATAGAAAAATGTGTAAATGGTATCAAATTTTCAAAAGAGGTGAAAATTTTTTTTATTATTGTACTAATTTAAAAAACAAACTAACTGTATTTAATGTATATTTAATTCCATAACATCAAAATTTATTTTATGAAGAATTTTCTTCTCATTAAGTATGTTATACATACTCGAACACCCTTTGTTTTAATTCAGAGGTTTTGTACAAATGCACATTGTATAAATATTAATCGCTGGGGAATAAAAGAAATATTACAAAACTATTGGCAGGTATACTGGGACATTTTTGAGCATTTTCTTAGCGCATAAACTTTAAGAGTTCTAGTATTTTTCTTTAGCACTTAATTTTTATAAGAAGTACAACTATTATAAAAGTTACACTTATTGAAATTTGAAACGAAAAGATTCTTTTTTAAATTTTGTTTATAATGTTTTAAACGTTTTTGTTACACTCCATTACAACGAATGAAAGCGTCATGGGTATGCCGTCCCTGATGTAAAATCTGTTATAGATGTTACTATAAAACGTAGTATAGATGACATCATAAATTCTGGTATAGCTCCTACCATGATGCATGAAATCTTGTATAGATGTCCCCATAGAATGTAATACAGATGCCGCCATAAAATCTGCTTTAGATCCCGCCATGAAATTTTGTATAGATTTCACTATAAAATCTAGTGTTGATGCCCCCATAAAATCTAGTGTAGATGTCACCATAAAGTCTAGTATAGATTTATCCATAAAGTCCAGTAGAAATCCCGCCATAAAATCTGGTATAGATCTCGCCATGAAACCTTGTATAGATGTCCCCATAAAATCTAGTATAGATGTCACCGTGAAATCTAGTATAAATGCCCCCATAAAATCTACTGTAAATCCCGCCGTGAAACCTTGTATAGATGTCAGCATAAAATCTAGTATAGATGTCACCGTAAAATCTAGTATAAATCCCGCCATGAAATCTGGTATAGATCCCGCCATGAAATCTAGTATAGATGTCACCGTGAAATCAAGTATAAATCCCGTCATAAAATCTGGTATAGATCCCGCCATGAAACCTTGTATAGATGTCCCCATAAAATCTAGTATAAATTCCCCCATAAAATCTACTGTAGATCCCATCTTGAAACCTTGTATAGATATCCCTATAAAATCTAGTATAGATGTCACCGTGAAATCTAGTGTAAATCCCGTCATAAAATCTGGTATAGATGTCCCCATAAAATCTAGTATAGATGTCACCGTGAAATCTAATATAAATCCCGTCATAAAATCTGGTATAGATCCCGCCATGAAACCTTGTATAGATGTCCCCATAAAATCTAGTATAAATTCCCCCATAAAATCTACTGTAGATCCCATCTTGAAACCTTGTATAGATGTCCCTATAAAATCTAGTATAGATGTCACCGTGAAATCTAGTATAAATCCCGTCATAAAATCTGGTATAGATTCCCCATAAAATCTAGTATAGATGTCACCGTGAAATCTAGTATAAATCCCGCCATAAAATCTGGTATAGATCCCGCCATGAAACCTTGTATAGATGTCCCCATAAAATCTAGTATTGATGTCACCGTGAAATCTAGTATAAATCCGGCCATGAAACCTTGTATAGATGTCCCCATAAAATCTAGTATAGATGTCACCGTAAAATCTAGTATAAATCCGGCCATGAAACCTTGTATAGATCCCGCCATGAAACCTTGTACAGATGTTCTCATAAAATTTAGTATAAATCCCGCCGTAAAATCTGGTACAGATCCGGCCATGAAACCTTGTATAGATGTCCCCATAAAATCTAATATAGATGTCACCATAAAATCTAGTATAAATCCCGCCATAAAATCTGGTATAGATGCCAAACGTTCCATATTGTAGAAAAATGCGTACGGCGAATAGAACGGATATTTATTTCTATCATTTATATAAAAAAATAATTTACCGTTACATATGTTTACTCTATGTTGAAATTTATAAATTTTGCTACTGGCCAATGTTTAGTAGTAGCCTGTTTAACAGCGGCCACTTTTTTTTTAAAACTTGAATGTTTTAAACGATTAAATAATTGAAGCGATTCTCAAAATATGATAAATATTACAAGATTCATTTCTAGCCAAAGAAAAAATTTGAAGAAACAAGCGTGACATAAAGTAGTTATCAGAATATTGTAAAATATTATAAAATTTTCGCAATATTTCCTTATATATATAAACAAATAATTACAAAAGGCGCTGATAGCGCTCAATGCTGACAGCATTGCCATCATCACGGTTTGTTCTTTAAATCGGGAAGTTCAAACATAAATGTTCCCTATGGCTAGTGACTGTTGCGACAGTGCTTTATTCTATATAATAAGGATTTGTAAAGATAAAAACATTACAGCATTCGTTGCAGTCTACATCACAGCATTCGTTGCACATGAAAAATTAATTAGCTATGCTGTGGCTCATCAGTCTACATCACAGCATTCGTTGCACACGAAAAGTTAATCATCTGTGCTGTGACTCATCAGTCTACATCGCAGCATTCGTTGCACATGAAAAGTTAATCAGCTGTGCTGTGGCTCATCAATCTACACCACAGCCTTCGTTGCGCATGAAAAGTTAATAAGCTATGTTGTGGCTCATCAGTCTACACCACAGCATTCGTTGCACATAAAAAATCAATCAGTAATGCTGCGTTTAATCAGTCTACATAGCAGCATTCAGCGCATATGATGTTTTCTGCTTCCCAGACGCAGAGACCTAGATGAAAGATATGTATTAATGACTTAACTGATGTTGTTGTGTGCTGATGCACATTCAAAAAGCACCGTATATGAATGTTGTGATTTAGACTTATTTTATCCTCTTCTCTATTTTCTTTTTCATAGTATCAGGATGTAGCTAAGAAGTGCTGCGAACAGCCGTCTTTAGATGGGGATGGTCTCCAGAAATCTCTTTGTGAATCGGACTTAGAAACTTTGTTAGAGGTGAGTAATAGAAAATATTTTTTATTTAAAATTTGATATTTTTACTAAAATCTGCATTTATGTCGATTATAGGAAACAAGAGTTACAGATGAAAAATAAATCAGAATAAAAATTATACATATATTATCTGGAACTTCTAATTTCGATCGGTTGTTAACCAGGTCAATTTAGAGGATGTCCTTAATTGGACCCACAGTTTTTAAAAAACGGAAAACTTTTTTGACCATAACTGTTTCTCAGTTATAAATTCCTCGTAAGGAAGACAACATCTAATTTGCATGTTGTCTTCTTGACGAGGAGGGTCGTGTTTCGAGGTCTCCAAACATGTAGACCTTTCTCTGATTTCATTGAAGAAAGAGAAGTTTCTTAATTTTTAAATATATTTTTACATCAGTTTTCCTGGTGTTATTCACTTAATAGCTTAATATATTACGAAAATAATTTGATTTTAATCACTATTACGAATATTGCCGTAATATTTTATTTTTATTTTTTTAGTGCTACAAATGCGTTGAAGGAAAATTAGGACCAGAGGTAAATATAAGAGCCACTTTAAAAAAATTAATGTGTGCCTATAAAATCTTATAATTATTTTTAAATAATTTTATTGAGGGGAACAATGTCGTGAATAATGTCTAACAATGAACAATGTCTAAAATAAGAGAGAAAAAAAATTACGTAGCTTGAAGAAATACCAAAACCGCTACAACATTTTGCTTTAAAATATAAATAATAGACAAAAATTTGTAACAAAAATATGTTTAATTTTTTTTTTTTAATTTAGAGAAATTTTTTTTCTCCAAAAATAAAATAGTGAATAGTATACATTTTTTAGATAATTTTATGAATTCAAACAATGTAATGACGGTGTAGCTTTATAGTATTAAAGAAACTTCTTTTCAAAGTATTCCGATTTTTCTTTATACTAAAATTTTGAGTATTTTTCATTATTAACGGAATAGGAGATGACATGAGTTTATAGCGCAAAATATTTAACTAAATAGTTACGAATAACTATTCTGAACTCTGAATAGTTATAGATATCATATAATGGGTGTTGTCTAATTTGCCAAAAGAACCCTCGAAAAATAACCAAAATATACTAGGTACTATAACATTTACAAATCTTTTACACAAGGTTTGATTGTAAAGATACATAAACATATCACTTTGATAACTAGTTCAAAAAATGGTCAATGATACCCATTTCTTGATCTTACAACCAATATTTTTTTATCTGCTTACTTTTAAATTTTTACTGAATTCACATGAATACATCTTTTATTAGTTTTTATTGTTTTTCAGACTGTTAAAGAGTTCCAGCCTTTGATGGTAAGCTTCAAAATGTATCATAAATGTAAAAGTACTGATAGCAATAAATAAATTAGTAAATGTGAAAAAGGAAAAGAAACAAATACTTACAAAATGTATTTTAAGTTTGAAAAAGATTGAAATCTTTATGCTCAAGTTAAACGTAATTATTAATATTAATGTTAATTAATATGTTAATAAATATGATAATTAAATATTAATTAAATTTAGACCCATCCTATGTAAAGATATATTAATAGCGAATCACGAAACAGGGTGTTCTGTAATGACCACCTTTAATTACTCTTTTTAGACTTTTTTTTAAATATGAAGACAAAGAAGTTTTCACAAAAAAATGAAAACGATAGAACAAAATATGACAGATTAATATTTGAGGAAAGCAGTATATAAAACATCAAAACTGCTCTGATTGCCTAATGAAACATTGAAGAGTTTTTAATGATCCCTTTTCAACTCCTCTCAGTTTTTTTGGCTATCAAGCATGGATTGATGTTTCTTGTTCTCTATTTCTCATTAATAATTCGTTAGATTTTGATGCCGTTTCTGCTTCTTTTTATTACCGTTTAAATATTAATAAGTAACCTTTGAAACACTTTGTTTAAAATAGACGTTACTAAATTAGAGGAATTCGAGAAAAAGGTTAAAAAAAGAAGAAAGAAAAGAAATAGAATATTGTGTTTTAAATTTTGATTTAACCATGGGATAAAATCTATCTTTTTGCTAAGCTAACATATAATTTGGTGTACACAAACAAAAGTTATCATAGTTTTAAAAAAACAACAAAAGTTAATCGAATTCTATAATCTAGTCATGTAATGTCGAGACGCCTATTCCAGTTACAATATTAATCCTATTCTCAAGATTATAGAGAACTTGCGACGAGCCATTTAAAGCAAAAAAATGTTGAATGCACAGCACTGTTGTAGTATTTCTACACGATATTGCTCGCTCGCACAAGGTGAATTTTATCATCATTGTTTTCAGTCGGATGTGTTTGTTTAGATACTGTCTAGAGCCCCTGGTTATTTGTGCCTGGAGAAATTCCTATCCAGGCATCACTTTACCACAAACGAAAACGCGCTAAAAACATTACATGAATAGGCACAAATGGAATTGAATAGGCACATATATGATATGACATGTAACATGAATAGGCACATTTGGAATAGAGGCAGCACGGATGCTGCCTCTATTCCAAAGTGGCAGACATTTGTTATAACTTCCATGGTAATGATCAATAAAAACTCATCGCATGGTAGAACAAGTGTTAGAATTTCGGTCGTCTTTATGTTAAGAAGCTGAACTAATGCTGTATCTTTTGCGGGTAATTATGTTTTTCCTTCTCTCTTTATGGGCCTTGGAAAGCTTACTTCCCTGATTAACTTCGTAGGTACATTTGATTTTACGTTTATAACTTAGAAATGTTTTTGCCAAAATAAAAAAATACTACTATTGCGAATTTTACATTCTGTATGTCAGTGCTCCCCAATCTTTTTATCGCATTGGACCGGTCAACGTTTGATAATTTTTCCGCGAACCACTAAAAGGGGGGGGGGTAGATCTTTGATTGCTTTATATTTTAGATTGTTTAAATTTAATAATTTCAGTTTAATTGTATTTAAATCTGCCTTCACAGTAAAATACAATTACACGCGTAGCATTGGTTGCTTTTGGGTGACGTCTCTCAGCTCCCAGTTAACCTTTGGTATATGGAAAGTCATACTCGTCTTTGACCACTGCTATATATGGTATCCAATGATTATATGTTTTTCTTCTTTTTGCAGGACTGTGCTAAAAAAGAGAGAAAATAATGCAATTTCTACAAATCTCAAAGTACCGACATTTTATGAATTAATTAATGGCTATTCAACTGCTAGTTCAAGTTTAATATTTATCTTGTTTATTTCTATGTGTAGTGAAAAATAAATGAAATAAACTAGTTTATGCATGCATGTACGTTTCTTTCTTCTCTATAAGCAAACAAACAAAAAAGAACATATTTTAATTTTGTTTTTGTATTGATTAACTACGATAACGATTTGTTACTCCAAAGATATTTATTTCTCCCTGATTTATTTTAAATTTTTTGCAGCTCTTAAATATGTGTTTTTAGAATTTCTCGCAGTCATAAAGAATTACACATTTGTTGTAAACTTCTTCTTACTATGCAAAAACAATCCTTACAATGTTATTGCATATTTACAAAGCTCATGATATTTATTTTCGTTCGTTCACATTGAAGAGCTGTAGCAAGCTGAGTTCTAAACTTGGCAAAAAGGAAAAGTTAAAAGCGATTTGCTCCTTTCAAAAAAAAAAAAAAAACTGTACCGACTGAAGTAAATGGTGACTGTTGCACGTTAAGTATGTCGGTTCACAAAGTCCTCCAAGTTTCCACAACAAACCATACTTCTGGCGGTAATAAATTGGAGATTGATCGTTCTATTATTCAGGTCAAAATTACTATCTGTGGATGAATGAAATGATACATGAATTGGTCCACCCTTAAAAACGGCCCCCCTGAAAACGTATTCTTGACCGTAGATTGCACAGCAGAAAACCGAGGAACGCACCCTCTGCCTTAATTTCGCTTGTTTCAACATGCAGGCTGCTGGTTGTCAAGTGGCATTAGTAACAAACAAAAAAAAATTGTACTAAATTTTTGTTTTAAATGTGCTCATTAATTTTCGCAGATTTACATTCCTGTATATTTAGATTTAATAATAAGACAAGATTTAATAAGATAAAATAAGATTTAATAATTACAGCTAAATTAGTTTTTTAACAGTATTTAATTATTTTCGCAGGTCGAATAATAATATAGAGCTAAAATAATTTTTAAGAGTGTTTAATACTCAGAAAGCAGATGTGAGAGACGTTACAATAAAATTGCATAAGAACGGAATCAACTGAGATTTTTCGAAAATACTGCTGAAAAAAAAGTCATTTGTAAGTTTTTTAGGGCTTCTAAAAGCTCGTTATTTTTTATAAGAATTTTTTCACAGTATTTAGTTTTTTACATTTTTCTTCTTAGACTAAATGCAAAACATATTTTTAACTTTAGAGTTCCTAGGACTGCAGATTGATTTAGATTGTTAAACTCTGTCCATAAAGTCATGGGCTTCCTTTTTCTGCCTTTCTTTTGGGCTTTAATAATTGTATTAATAAATTATTAGTTTAAAAATGAAGTGATCATACACAGGCGATCTAGCCACAGGTGACAGGTAGATCAATAACAGCTAATTCTTATTGATTTGTAGTGAAGTGCAGGGCGGAAAATGCATAAAAGGAACATCCTGAATAATTTTTGATCTAATAATCGGATTTTCTTATACAATCTTAACGGTTCAGAGGCCTCACCTGTAAATACTTAGTGCAGACGATATTTTAAGTTACTGAGCAAAAAATATATCCTTTTTTCGACCGATTCGGATTGTGGACCTGAGAAATATGGTTCCAGCAGTTTGATGATCATGAGACTGGTCAAACATTTGGACACCTTTATGTTAAATTTACTTTTTTTCTAGAGAACTTTTTCAGCGAATTGAAAAATATTTGCATATAATTATGAACTTCATTTAACATAATAAAAGTCCACGCAAAAAATTGTTATCAATAATAACGTATTATTTTTAAATACGAGTACTTCGTAATGTGTAATAATAAATAATAAATGCAATTTTAGACGGCAAAATACACAATTTCTATGCAATCGCTGCAGTTTCTTAAAGTTACAAAATTTTAAAAAAGTCGTATATTATCGTATTTTTATTGTTTCGAAAACATTGAAAATTATTATTATGTGTTGTAGTTTATAAACTACGTTATTTAGAAGAAGAATTAGCTGTAGTTTCATACGGCGCATCATTTACGGAAGTTTAAATGTAAAACTTAAAAAAAAAATCGTAAGTTTTTAATTTATAAAAACAATAATACACAAATTGAAATATTCTATCAGGGTATCATCCGTTGGCTGAACAATTTTAAAACACCCCTGTATGCGACTCATAATTCTGACAAAAAGTGAACAATGTTATCAAAATATTCCATCAATATAGTTCTCTCGAACTATAGGCTTATCATATGTGGGCAAAGCTATTTTATAATTCTCCAGAATCTGATATATTACTCATGATTCTAATAAAAGTGAACAATGTAATAAAAGTATTTTCCTTCATAACCTTTTATGATTTAAATGTAAGTTTCTCTACTATTTATGTTTAATTCATCAGTTATATAATTCAATGAGAAAAAATACGCCATATTTCCTAATATGAATGAATAAAAAATTTCAAACTGACAAAAAGAGAGCAGCTTTGTTTATTTGTCTTGTAGAACTTTGAAACGTAAACATTTCAAGGTACCCGATGTTTTAATTTATACTTCAAACCATTGATATATGTAATTTGCCGAAACCATCACTCTGATATAACCTCTGGACGTTTTTTAAAACTTCTATCATTAGGATGTATTGTAAATTGTAAAGAAAAAAAGGTAACAATACGGATTTATCTCTTCAAAAAAAAATTCTTTTGTGCTTTCTCTAAAGTGAAGTAATTTATACAATAAGAACTTCATTGAAACAAGGTTAAATATTAAGAGGTGCATCCCATCCACCTGTTGACGAACGAAACACAATTGCCTTTGTCATCAATTTCCTACTCCCATGTATATAAATAAGTTTGCCAAAATGAACTAAATGTATTAAAGTTACGCAAAAGTTAAAATCGTTTAAAATGTCTGCCAAAATCGTGATATTGTTTGCTCTGTTTATGCTGGTTGGATTAGCGGTAGCTAATGATGATGCCCATGACAAAATACTTGAAAAAATCTGTATGTATTCAGTACTTTCTACAAATTTCATGTCTTAAGTAATTTTCAAGGAATGTTGTTTGAAATTTTGAAGCCATATCTTTCTAATTCATTACAATCTAAACCATTTTAAACTTGATTACATGATGTTATTGTTTAACCTGAATGGAAAAAGGTTTTAATTGAATCCTTTATTGAGAGTGTAGCAAATTTGTAATGTCAAGTTATTGATATTATGGTTCAATTCATTTCAATCTAAACCATCTTAAACTTGATTATACGATGCTATTGTTCAACTTGAACGGAAAAAGGTTTTAATTGAATCCTTTATTGAGGGTGTAGCAAATTTGTAATATCAAGTTATTTATATTATGGTTTAATTCATTGCAAACTAAACCATCTTAAACTTGATTATACGATGTTATTGTTCCCCTTGAATGGAAAAAGGTTTTAATTGAATCCTTTATTAAGGGTGTAGCAAATTCGTAATATCAAGTTATTGATATTTTGGTGCAATTCATTGTAATCTAAGCCATCTTAAACTTTTTTATACGATGTTATTGTTCATTTGAATGGAGAAAGGTTTCCATTGAACCCTTTATTGAGACTGTAGCAAATTTGCAATATCAAGTTATCGATATTATGGTTTAAGTTATCTTTATCATGGTCTAAGCTATCAATATTACTGATCATATTATCTATATTGTAATTCAAGTTATCGATAACATGGTAAAAGTTTTCGATATTATTGTTCAAAGTTGAATGAGTTTGTTAAGTATGGTTTTCAGAAATAACTAAATGTTTTTGATGGTTTTAAGCGTTTTATAATGTTTCCTAGCTACTAAAAATTGGTTATAATATTAATTAAGCTATATGACTTATTAAGATATTTTTTCTTACAAAGATTAACTTATTAATAAATTGAAAGTTTACCGTTCGTGCACCAATCTATGATTTATAGATAAGATTTTGTGAGTTAGTCTTAGTGAAGTGTACTAAATTGGAAAAAAAAACTATAAAAAATGCTGCTTGAGAACTTATAAGCTTTCTAGAAAATTTCAAAAGTGTTTAATAAAAACAATGCAAAATTCTCCAAGCAATCCAAATCTAGAACTAGTATATGAAATTTCAAGGAAAAAGTATTCTTAAAATTGTAAGTTAACTATTAATAAATGTTACTTAATTATTTGTTAATCATTAATAAGCTAATTAATTATTAATAATGTTTATTAATATTCATTAGTTCATTAAATAATGAAGCGAATTAGCTTTGCTTTTGATAGACATTGAAAGAAAAAATCACTCATTTGTTATTCATTAGTGACGAGGCATGCAATACTTATTGCATCCACCAACCAAAAATTAAATATATAAGTAAAAGACAGACAAAAAAAGCCCTGTCTATTAGTAAAGGAAAATTGTGACTAAAATATTCAAAAATAGTAAAACTAGTGCCTATAGAAAATTTATAGAAATCCAAAGACGGCAATAAATGTAAAAGTTAAATGTTTTTTTAAACTGTAATTTTAAATAGATAATAGTCATGCAGAATATAACTATGTATCAATATATAATTAAGCAAATATGCAGTTTAAAACATCTAGAGTAATATAAAAATTAAAGCCATGTGCATACATGTATGTATATATCAATATTATACTGTTATTAAATAGAAAAGGAAACATTTTGGGGGCAATTACTATGGTTTTTCTATGATACTTAATCTTAATGCTATGAGTTTTAAAACAGCAAAGAAAGAAGATATAAACATTAAACGTTGACTGTTGTAGGCTCAAAGGAAAAGGAAATTGACGAATGCATTGAAAAAATTGAACTTGATGGAGATGTAAGTATCAATATTTTTTTTATTTTTAAAGTTCGTTTGAAAGATAGCAGAAAAATAAAGGCTAGAAGAAAAATAGCTAAAGGATGGGAGAGATTATTGTATCTTTTATTAAATTTTAATTTTAATTTTTCTAGTAAACTTCACAAATACAGTAATAATACATTATTTAAAATATTACAAATAATAGAAGAGTGCACTTGTAAGCTTCAGTAAATATTTATTGTTTTTATTAATTTATTTAAAAATAGTCAAAAAATTTTGAACTTTAAGGTACATAATTTTTTACCATCATTTTAAGGAATATAATATTGCACGGCAAAGTGCAAAAAACTATCGGAATCGGTCGAATAATTCCTGAAAAATTGAATTTTAAATATATGACTTTTTTGTATTTGATAGTTTACTTTTATAGTTTACTTTTACAGTTTTTAAATATTCGAATTCGTCAAAAAAACTATATGTTTATTTAAAGAAAGTACACTTTTGTGATTGTGTCCGTAACTTAAAATATCATCTGCACTAATAAATTTTTATACGCACTCTACATTTGTAAAGAAAGATGATTTTGATGATGGTGACTTTTCCAACCTTTGTAGTTTGAATGCGAAAGAAAATCACCTATTTAGGTCTTAATTTTTAGTAACTGGTATATTAACAGTTTTTTTTAAATATTTTGATTTTAACTAGTTTAAACTACACCTTTTGCATTTTAAATAATATATTTAAGATGTTAAACTTTTTTTTTTTTTTTACCACTTAGAATTTGACGACTCCTTGTCAAACTTAAGATATAGAGCATACACATTAAGTATTAGAAATAGAAATTTAAAAAAAATGAAATTTTTAAATCTATTAAAATGTAATGAATTTTTCTCGTGGTAAATCAGAGTAAAGTGATGATTTTACCTTACTCTGACCCTTTGCGATTCCTCAGATTTCAGATTTTTCTTAATGTTATTTTTCTCACTAAGATATTATTTCATAAAATTTGTAAAGATTTTTATATCTTTATTATCAACAGAAGATTCTAAAAACATACATTTAAGGTACTTATTATGGAACACTCTCTATAAAATATGGTTTAGAGCAAGTAAATATTTTTCCTTGTTTGACAGTTCTTAGAAGTTGCTAAAAAGTGCTGTGAGGGAATTGAAAATGGAACAGGAAAACATTTCCAAGAATGGATTTGCAGTTCTGGAAAAGAAACAGTAAATGAAGTAATTACATTTAATTATTTTATCTGATATAAACTGATGTGAATTTCGTAATATTTCCTTTATTGTAATCATATTTTAAAGAAAAATAATATCTACTTTCAAATGCATTTTTTTGTTTTATTTTATAACCATTGTTGAACAGCCGACCCACTTTTTTGGGTTTACGATTACTAACGTTCAACTTCGCAGCCATGTAATTTCAAACCCAATCCAGAAGACAAGGGAACTCCTGAATCAAGTATTGGGAGAAATATTGCCTTCGGGGAGGACTTTTTGATGAAACTAAACTGCATTTGTGTTACGTGGAAAGGAAAATCACGAAAACCTCTCAAGGTTAGTTTGACTCCAAGGGGACTCTAAGCCATGATCCGTCTACCACTGAGGATATTTTACGTAACCACTGAGGTCAGTAGGAGCCAGATGCGCGACCGACCAACCATCGCTGGGAATCGAGCCCGGTTCACGTCATTGGAAGGGGAACGGTCTTTCCCCTGAGCTATCAGGACTCTTCAAATACATTATGAGTAATATATTACCAGGGGTCCCCAGGAGTCATCACGACTCTTTTGCAGTTCCCCTTTCAGATTTTTTGCAATTCAAGCTATCTTCGCTCATTGTCTATTTTTGTCTATTTCTGACTTTTTGTCTGTTTTTGTATGTATGTAGGAACTGTTTTTTTGTATGAAGTTTAAAAAACATTCGACTCCATCCTGTGAGATAAAAATTTCACTCAATTTATATACACTACGATATGCACTATATTCATTTTAATGTTATTTGGAAATTATATTTGGAACAAATAATTCACAGGATTTCCCTATATTATAAAATTTTAAACATTAGTGTTTGAAGAAATAACAGTTCTTATACAAACTCATAAAATGCATAAATACCACGAAAATTGAAAAAAAAAATTAGGTACGAAAATTGAAAAAAAAAAGAAGTAAAATCGATTTTTAAAATTTGGATGAGTTAATGATCAATGATCTCATATCTAGCTACTTCATTGATTAAAAACTTTCTCTTCACTATTTTTTAAACATGATTGAAACTAAATTAGAGCTCTAAAATATTTTGCTATGTCAAACTAATAAAAAAATTAGGTACGAAAATTGAAAAAAAAAAGTAAAATCGATTTTTAAAATTGGGATGAGTTAATGATCAACGATCTCATATCTAGCTATTTCATTGATTAAAAACTTCCTCTTCGCTAATTTTTAAACATCATTAAAACTAAATTAGATCTCTAAATTACTTTGCTATGTCAAACTTATAGGCATAATTAAAAAAATATATATATATAAAAGGTTTTTCCGGCTGTTATTTACTGATCGCACTTAACTTTTCATTTCTGCCCAACTAATGATACAGTTTGTTTCAGTTTTTCGTAGTCAATATGAGAAAAGAAATTTCATCGGTTTTGTGACAAAAACAAATTCATGTTGCGCATGCTTTTTTTTTAATGTATCAGTTATTTCAAACTTTGTAATGTGAACGAATGTTTTCAAGTTGACTTTATAATTCTGGAAAAAAGTTGTTTTCAATTCGAAATCAAACTTTACAGTCATTTTTATATGTATAAACTAAATCGTAGTAATTCCCTATGAGATTACCATTACCATCATAATTAAATCTCCATTAAACCAATGACAGAGATTGACGACTTGTAAAATATCTAAATACATTTTTTCTTAATTAAACACAATAATTTATGTATACATAATTTTTTTATTATTTTTCAGTGTTGCAAGTGTATTGCTGAAGAAACCGGTAGCTTGGTGAGTAAATTTGAACTAGCAAAATACTTGTTATTTAAATATCAAAATACATGTTGGAACTATTTTTCGGTATCATCAATTATTATCAGTTTTCGTTGTAAAAGAATTATTGGGTGCACAAATGAGTTCCCGCAGTTTGTCACAAAATGGTTCTACCAGAAGATAAAGTAGAAATTGACTGATGCTAAACGCCTTATTGTAAGTCTGTTCATCAGGTAACAACATAACCTTAAAGTATTAGAGATTCCGTATTAACATTACGTAATTAGTTTCGTGCAAAAATGCCAAGTTCTGTGCCAAATAAGTGTCATTTACGGAAACTTTTGATTTTCGTCTTTAATTTAAAGAAATCTGCAGCCGAGGCGCATTGATTGCTTGGAGAAGCATATGGTGAGGCTGCTTTAAGTGAGAGAAGTTGTCATGAGTGGTTTCTGAAGTTTAAAAACGATGAGTTTGACGTAGAAGACAAAGAACTCAGTGGAAGGCCGAAATTGTACGAAGACGAGGAATTGGAAGAATAATTGTAAGAAGATTCATCTCAAAATCAAAAAGAACTTGCTCTTACATTACAAGTGACTCAACGAGCAATATCACATCGTTTAAAATCGTTGGGAATGATCCAAAACAAGGAAGTTGGGTTTTATACGAACTGAAGCCAAGAGACATTGAACTTCGATATTGCATGAAGATTGATTTTGCTATTTTGAAACACTTCAATGGGAAGTTCTACTCCACCCACCGTATTTAACAGACCTTGTCCTTTAAGATTATCACCTATTCCGGTCGATGACACGTGTCTGTCTGAGTAGAAATTTACATCATTTGAAGAAACTAAGGAATGGGTCGATACGTGGATATCCTCGAACTATGAAGAGTTATCTCGACTTGGTATCCGAATGCTGGTTGGTTGGTTTCGTATGCTTGTTTAGGCAGTGAGGAGCGATTGCTCTTGTTTTTCAGTGGCGCCATCTATGGCCAAGAATTCGACCTCTGCCACACCCATTCGTCTCACCCATTTATAGGTCGGACCCATTCATACATCCATTCATTCATCCACAGATCGTGATTTTGACATGAATCAGAGAACGATCGATCTCCAATCCAGTACCCCCAGAGGTATTGATTTGTTATGGGAACATGGAGGACTTTGCGACTCGATAGTCTTAACGTGCATCATTCACCATTTTACTACACGGGGAATCTCCGGCCAGTGGGGTTCGAACCCACGAACTCTCGGACATGGGCCCAGCGCCCTACCCCCGAAAGATGGGAAAAAGTAGTGTCTAATAATGAATATCTCTGATTAAAGGATAATGTACCGTTTTTTTACGATAAACAGCTAATTTTTGATAGAAAACGATGGAAACTTATTTGTATTCCCAATACATTATGCTAAAGAAAGTATTTCAGAAAGATAAAAAAAGCACCGGAAATAAAAATCTCCATATTCTTAAAACAAATCGTAATGCTGTTCAATTACACAAAATATCCTGGGTAAGATATTCAGAATATTAAGTTGATGATAATTCCGATCAAAAATACTGAAAAAATGAAGACTAATTCACTACCAGAAGTATGCTAATTGTCAACTTTAATGTTCAAATAAAACTGAACGAGTTAAGAAAGTAATCATTTAAAAAAAAAGAAGAAAAAAAAACATAAATATTTTAACTACGTACTATCGTAACTAAAGCAACGTTTAAAAGGACTTAAAGGGACTGTTATTATAAAACTATATATATATTTTTTTTTTTGCCGTTTGTTAAATATAACATCGTTGTTATTTAAATTTTTCATATACAAACACTGGAGAAAGAAGTGCAGTCAAAACTACCAGAATATTTCAAATTTAATTGTGTTTCTGGCTCTATCAGAACCCCAAATAGCTCAGAAATTTTTACCGAAGCGCTTCTGTAATGAATTTGGTATAATTAATAATAAAATATGGTTTTGTAATATGTGATAAAATTTGATATTTTTATCATACCATTTATCATTCAAGAACATGGCATAAAAACGATTTATTCGGTTAAATTTATTTTTCAGTTTTGTCTCTTTTATTAAATGCGTGCTAATAAGAACTATAGTTTTGTAAAACAGAAATTCCAGTAAACCGTCACCACATGAACGGAAAAATTACTATATAAATGGTTTGAATACCGTATAATTTGGTTCTATAAACCATATTTTTTTTTATACCAAAAATGTCACTGCCGTACAGTACCGTAATTTTTTCAATTTTTTTACCGTATAATGCAATATTTGAATTCCGTACTATGACAATAATTTAAATTAAATTGCTTTGGTCAGGAAAGTAATTTTGTTTAATGGATACTTTTGTCCAGAGTAGTTTTTTATTCAGGGTGGTGCGAAATTAAAACCTTTAAGTATATATTTTTAGAATCCTTGCATAAAATGCATATTATTGATCAAATCAAGGATATATTGATTAGCATGCAAATTAATAAAAAAAAAATAAGAACAGCTATTGAAATTTAACAATTGGCCAATAAAGAAGATGGAATTAAAAACATTAAAACCTGTCTAATTGCAGCAGGAAAGCAAGTTAAGAGGTGAACCTTAGAAACACTTCTGAATTTCGAATATCAACCGATGATCAAACTGGTTTTGGCATTTTTCATCCCATCTTCCTCACTAGTAACTCGCTATGTTTTTTAAAAAAAAAAATTTAAAAAATAGAAGATTGAAAAAGACAGGAAATTGAAATTTTCTGGTATTTTCTTTTGCATTAATATGGAATGCAAAGTTTTTCTTATTAAATTTTAATATTATTTTAATAGTCTTTATTCCACGTAAAATCACATGATTGACTTTTTATAGCCATTGATAACAAAACAAATAATTCCACTACACTTAAAAGATATTTTTTTTCCAATGCCCACCCGATTGATACTCATCATTCAGGTAGCAGGAGGGCATATTTGTTGGCCCCTCTTTCAGGGGCACCATACAGGGTGGGCAACGTTGCTCCCACAGTAAAGACTGATAGTACAGAGAATTAAAAAACATCCACCCCTGGATTCAAACCCAGGACCTTTCTGATGCAAGGTCCGCTCTCTGACCACTACAGTGTCTGGTCGACTCATATAAAAACATAATTAAAAATAAAGGAATTCGTGTAACATTATTTTTTTCTGTATTTGTTAATACTAATTTGAAATTTTTACTCAAATATTATGACTTTCTTTTATAGGTTTCAGAAGCAGAGCAAGAATTCAGGGTGAGACATTTTAGATTTGCCTTAACTTGTTGAATCCAAATACGTAGATAGTCGTTATATATTTCTGCATTTTTGTTTAATCCGAAATATAGTATGCAAGAGTGATATGCCCACTGCGCTAAAATCATTATGATTTTAGAAAAAAATTAAATCAAAAATATAACTGGACAAAAAGAATAAATTTTCCTTCCGAATTTTTAAAAATTTTTTTTTTTAAAAGAGTGAAGAACTTTAGGAGGATTATCATGAAACCCGTCAAACATTCAAAATATGCGGGGGAGAAAAATTCTGAAAAATATGTTCCAAATATACTAGGCAAACGAACAATCGAAAGTTTTGGGCTTCTAAGTGTTTATTTCAAAATTTCACTTTTTGCGTGCTTTGTCATATGAAAGAAATCGGATTTTTAAACTTTTATTTCTTAACTATACAGCCAATTTTCTAAAAATTTTGAGTTTTGCCATTTGAAATCAATTAGATTAAATTGGTGTAAATATTTGCATGCTTCAAAATGGCTTAGATAAACAAGTTTCATAATTGTGTACAAAAAGAGTTCGATAAGCCTTTTAGTTTAATTCTGAATCTGTGACAAAATTCGCAAAAAGTAACATTAACGTTATAGGACTCAAAAGTTTTGACAGCTGTTCAGTCTCAGCTATTGGAACCAAATTTTCCAGATTGTATCTACTCTGTTATTATTTTGCGATTCAATAATTTATTTTTGGTTTCCTGTGTTAGGTTATCACATGTAATAATCAATGTTAGGTTATCATATGTAATAATCAATGTTAGGTTATCACATGTAATAATCAATGTTAGGTTATCACATGTAACGTTAATAATTGGGTACTTGCAAATCGAGAAAATGACGATAATTGATACACAAATACGTGTTTAATCGCTTATAAACAAGATGGCGCTTCAAAGTGGAGCTAAGTTTCCCCACATACACCTAAGAGCCGTTACATTATGACCACCCTCCATCTATAACAATGGTCTTACCCAAGTTTTCATGGTTTCTCGCCCAGGAACTATGTTTTCATGGGGCACATTAGGACCCATAATCCTCATAGAACAATCCCTGTCGTCTGTAAGCTACTTGAACATAGTTGCAGATCAGGTTCACTCATTCATGGCAACAGTTTTCCCTGCTGGGGATGGTGTTTACCAACAGGATAATGCACCACGTCATAAGGGTCGAATCGTCGAGGAACATTCCAGTGACTTTCAAATCATGTCTTGGCCCCCAAATTCACCTGACCTTAATCCAATAGAGCATTTGTGGTCCTACTTGGAAACCCAAATTCGTGCTGCCAAGCTATTCTTTCGCACTGTGAGGGAATTGCAGGACCAGTTGGTGGGCGCTTGGTACCAGATACCTCAGACTACCTATCAGCACCTTGTGGAATCAATGCGACGACGGGTGCTAGCAGTATTGAGGGATAAAGGTGGTCCTACATGTTATTAGCAGGGTGATCATAATGTAATGGCTCTTCGGTGTAAGTTTGAATGTTAATTGACGTGAAGTTAATTAAATACATACCGTACCGCGCATCAAATTTGTTAAAATATAATTCTTTCTCTTCTACATCTTTTACTTGACTTACATTTATTATTTGTTTATATATTTTCTAACAGCAACAGATTTTTGTTTTGTGCACTTGGCAACTGTTATGCATAATCAGTTTATGTTCTACTTGGCTTCATGCCTGTCTTTGTGCTAAGTAAGAAATATACAGTGAAAAAAATTAAAAAAAATTGTGAAAGAATCATTGTGAAAGAATATAGAATGTGCCATTTAAGAGAATTGATATTTAATAAGCGTTACCGTACCATACACATACCACTTTTCAAACAACCAATCAGGATCTAGATATCCACACTACGTCACTTGCAGGTATCCATTTCGCATCGTATGGACGTGACGTCATCGAATTTGAATTTTAAAAGACATATGAAATCGACTTTCATGAATGCGTGTTTCTATTAACTTAAATAATGGAAATTTATCACTAGCAAGAACTAACAAAATAAATTTGTAGTTATTTATGAAGCTATATCGCATTTAATATGTAACTATAAGTATAGTTAGTCATTTTTTAGTGAGTTATAATAAAATCATTAGTATGAAGCCGCACTGATATATTCAATAAATAATTTAAAAATGTAGCTTGTGCATTTGTTGGGGAAGGTTGTGCATTGTAATTTTGGAAGAAATGAATGAATAAAATATGCAAAATGATCTTATTAACTGCATAAACATGGCATGATTACATCGAGATAAGATTTATTAATAAAATTTTAATTATAAAATGTAATTTTTTTTTGAATAGTTAATTTTTTTGTGCTTCAGTTTTTTGTAGGCCACGAAAGAAAAGAATTTTCTTTTAGAAATTTGAAAACAGCTACAATTTTTACCCCATCTGAAGAACGGACATTCAGCTAGTATTTATTAAAAATAATGCATATTTTTATTTTATTTTCAGAAATGCATTGAAGAATAATTTCAAAAGAAATGAATGAACGGAACTTCTGAATATTTCCTGAAAGAAACAAATATATTTTGTATTAATTAGCAACAGTAAATTTACAAAAAGACTGTCTTATTAAATCCATAAGCATGGCATGACTATATGTAGATATGATCTATTAATAAAATTTTTATTATAAAATTTAGTTTTTCAAAACAATAAATTTTTGTGTTCTGCAGCTCAGCTTTTTGTTGTCCACAACAGAAAAGAATTTTCATTCAGAAATTTGCAAACATGTGCGCTTAAGCACTCATGGTTATGACTGCTCACTCGCTCGATATTTTAATTTTCAGTTTCTTGTTGCTAACGCGAGAAAGTAATTACACTGTTTTTTTAACATCTACATACGCATTAGTGTCTTATGTAATAAGATAGATAGATGTGCATCAAACAACTATAATTTCTTAAATATTTTCCTCTTTTTTTTCGCGAAGTAAACATATTAATCATCCCATTTTTATGAAGTATATATTAGTAACACTCACTTAAAATTAATGTTGACATCTTTTAAAATTTATTCCTATGTATATGTAAATCTGAATTAATATGTAAACAACAATAACAACTAATTCTATAAATTGAATAATTACTATGCATTACCAATAAAAATGATTGGTACTGATAGCCATTATTTGAATTCATAAAATTTTGTTTAAAAAATATTCATTTATTCAATTTCAATGAACACAAAACTTAATATGCAAAATGTAAGGTCGTAATAATTATTTTCTAAATATTTTAAAATTGTTTCTAGAGTAAAAATTAACGATATAATGGAGAACTTATCATGATAGCATAGATTTGTTAGATAGTTACATTATTTTATTTTTATTTTTGTTTTAAAACTGTCGCTGAACAGTAGACACAATTTTGAGTTTACGACTACAAATGTTCAACTCCGTAGCCCTGTAATTTTAAACCCAATCCAGATGACAAGGGAACTCCAGAATAGAGTATTGGAGATATTTGCCTTCGTGGAAGACTTTTGATGCAGCTAACCCGCATTTGCTTTACACGGGGGGAAAACTACGAAAACCACGCATAATTAACCTGGCGGCAAGGAGACTCTAACCCATGATCCGTCTACCATTAAGGATATTTCACGTCAGCACTATGGTAGTTGCGAGCCAGGTGCGGAATTCGTATCGACCAGCCATCACTGGGATTCGAACCCGGGTCACCTCATTAGAAGATGAACACTCTATCCCTGAGCTACCACTGCTATAGTTAGATAGTTACTGTTGAAATATATTTCAGAAACATATTACTCATCCGGAAATAAAGCTGTAAGAATACTCTCACCTGAATTTGCACTTGCTTTAATGGTCACTCTAAATTAGTTACGTAATAATAAGGTAAAGCATTCCCACGGCATCCCATTGTAGTCCATGGATATTAAGGCTTATACAATTTCGCGAACAGTGGTATGGTGGGAAAAATGAGGTTAGCATTGCACACCAACCGTCTTCTTGAAAAAAAAAAAAAAAACTGGTACCCATCTATCTGGGCCCTTACAATAGATTTGTGACTGAAGTTTTGGTGAGCAGTTCCGAAAGCAAATGAATCGGTTTTGATCAATATAGAGCAATATCCTGTAGCAATAAATATTGTATTTAAATTTGTGAATTTTTCCATATCTTGTTGTTAGGTTTGAAGTGAAATTTTTTAAATTACATATCTTAAAACTCATATTCTAAATAAATTCCGAGCTTAAATAGTTTATTTTCTCAAAAAAAAAAAAAAAATTATAAAATATTGAGACATTTATGTTTCCTTCTAAAAGTTGTGTTGAAGGCATTTTTGTTTAAAATACAATGTAAATGAGGTTTTTTAATTGATAGATTGATTCGCTTGCGTCATCGCGAATGGGAAGTTCGTACTCAAAATTTCAACCTTCTTCCGACTATCTGGAGAACTAAAATCTCTATTAGTGCTTCACATTTTATAAAAATGCAAGCTTTAATTAGTTTCTGGCGGCTACACAGCAAAAAACTCATACAAAAAACCTATAATTCTGGTTAATAAAACCAAAATATTCGGTATTTAAACCATTCATTTGGTAATTTTTTGTTTATATGGTAACCGCTTACCAGAAATTCCGCTTTTAAAAATTATTGTTGCTATTCCTCTACATTTAGTTAATACAGTGAACTCTCGCTACTACGATATCCAATTCAACATTCCTTATTACGATTGTAAATCCCTTTATTACGATAATGTTTCGTGGTCCCGACAAACTGGCATGTGGATTAATGTCATGCTCCTCTCAAAATTACGATATTCTCTGAAGCAATAAACCCCTGTAAAATGATTATTTTTCTTCAAATTGCAACCTTATTTTCTCCATTTATTATTGGTTTTCAAATAATGCAAAAAATCTTATTTTATCATCTTTTGCCATTTATTACCTCATCTTTTCTGACAAGAGAAGACTCACTCTTGACCATCCCAAGATCTTGCATTCTTAGAATTTCCTCCCTCATCTCTTAAGAAGTCACAGTTGTAACATTCCTATCTGATTCCATTCCCTTTATGTTAAAAGCTGATCACAAGCATCACATAAACATTTTTTTCTGCAGAGGGTGGGTGGAGCACCATTCAAAAACGAAAATAATTTTCGTTCCTTGGCTTCAATATATACTTTCTTGGTTGACTTGACAGTCAAATAAGTAAATAAATAAACAAAAATATCACATTATTTTCAATAAAAATGGTTTTCAGGTATCTTTACGATCTTATTTTCCGAATTTATTTCATTTGTTTTAAATATTTTACCATAATTAACACTCTCCAAATTAATTTCTTATACAATATATAAATAATTTATGGTCCGGGATAGCCTGGTCGGTAGGACGCTGGGCCCATGTCCGAGAGTTCATGGGTTCGAACACCGCCGGCCGAATATAGATAAGTAAAAGTGTGTAAAAGTGACTGATGCACGTTAAATCTGTCGAGTCGCAAAAGTCCTCCATGTTCCCATAACAAATCAATAACTCTGGGGGTACTGAATCGGAAATCTATCATTCTCAGATTCAGGTCAAAATTACGAATCTGTGGATGAATGAATAGATGTATGAATGGGTCCGCCCTATAAACGGGTGCGACGTATGGTATGGCAGAAGTCGAATTCTTGGCCATAGATGGCGCCACTGGAAAACAAGAACCGCTCACTCTGCCTTAAATTTGCTCGGTTTTACCAAGTAGGCTTGCCCGGCTCGGTTTTACCAAGCAGGCAAGTGGCATTAGAAACAACAGCACAACAACAATATATTTATAGTTAGTACATAAATAACATCTAAATTAAAAGAAAATCTTATTGTGTCCTCAAAGTATGTAGGCCCTAGATATAACAATATATCCCTGTACAACAATAAATTTATTTTCCCCCCCCCCCAAAATACTGTTACGGAGAGGTTTTACTGTAGTACAAAACTGAAAAGTAATTTTAACTGAATAACTGGTTTTTATGCTATCCTCTAAGATACTATAGTAACCACATATGAAATTTTCTTACTCATTGTAAGATTCTATTTTAATGTTTTTTTTACAAGAGCCGTAGAACCGAAAACGAAGTAAATTTTATCATATTCTAGTAGTTTTTGTCATGCTGTTTTCTCAATCTATAAAGCGTAATTTATCGCTATATTATTCTCGAAAGGAACTTATAATCAATCCCAATTTCATCTATTTTCCGACTAGTCACTGTGCTCAAATTTCAATTCAAGATCTATGCCTGATGCCAATACAAATTTATAAATAATGTAAGGGAAAATTTAACTCCAATAGAAATTTTGGCCAATTTTTGACACTGAGAAACAAATAGACATAAAACTAAAAGGAAAAAAAATCTATCGTAAAATAAAACAATAATAAGTAGGTTAAAGAGGAAAAAACAATTTTTTATATTTTTAAACTTAAAACGGAAGACGTGCATACATAAGATAACTTAAGTTATCTTATGTATTTCTATCTTATGTATTTTTATCTTATGTTATTTCTATCACTATTGATATTTCGATCGACTTCACTCGAAAGTGCTTTTCTGCAAAAAAATTTTAAAATAGGTAAGTGGAAAATAAAATTACTTGTTTTTCACTTTTTACTTAAAAAGCATAGTTTTTAAAATTTGCATTTTGCTATTGATTTAATTTTTAGTTTGGAACAATTTGTTTGTTCGAATGTGATGTAGCATTAGTTAGACTTAATTTATTTATTCTAGTGCGTGTTTTTTATATCATACACTGTTAGAAATTTCTCGGCGAAAATGGTTAAATAACAATTTATTGAATGGTTATTTTACCATATTTAATCAAAACAGTCAAAGAACCATAAATAAAATGGTAATCAAACTGTAAAATTTGTTAGAAAAACGTTTATTAACTGCTTTCACCTAATACGGTTAAACAACGAGAATTTTATCGCACCAACTAGAACCACCTAATGAAGCTACTTAGTTCATTGCAACAATGTAAATATCACAGCCGTGCGGGCTTATCTTTCAATCTCATGACCAGCTGTACTGGAGTTCGAGTCCTAGTATTGACACCACAATATTTCCTCCATTCCCTTCAACACTTGAAGAATTTCCAGTATCCGCCACTCTGCAATGTCCATTACCTTACGAAACGTCAAGCTCCTATGTCTAGTTAAATAATTAATTTCTTTTACGTTTTTGAAAAATGTTAGTTGTAAATGGTTAAAATACTGTATTTTTTGTATTCATGGTTTGTGTGCCATACTTTTTGAAACTGGTTTCAAAACCATAAAGGAAAAAAATGTTCTTTACGGTTAATCGGATGGACAGACAGCTGCCAATTATTTGACCATAATTTTAGAAATTTTTTTTTAACATTGCACTTTAAATGCAATCATGTATCATGACTTAAAAAATAATATCCAGTTCTGCATTTTTTTCAATAAGCTTTCAATAAAAAATTAAAAATTTCGCTTCATATATCACAAATCTTAATTAACTTTTAGTAAAAAATTAAAAATTTCTCAAAAGATATCATTATAAATCAAAATTTCGATCTAATTTTAATGCGAGAATTTATTTACTTCACCGAAAGATAAAGAGTGCAATTTATCAATTTGAACCTTTTGTGATTTAGTTACTGCTAGAAAACTAATTCAATTGAGTT